ACTCCTAGAGGGTCCCCAGCACCCGGCAGAGCTCATCCTCTGCTCTGCTTTCACAGAGGCCATGCGGAAGGATGCTGAAATCACACTGGGGTAGCCCTGCCTGACGTGTCCGCAGGACGGGATTTACTCCCTCTGTCTCCACAGAGGATGGACCCATATGTTTGCAGTCGGGAAAGGAATGTCTCACTCCTTCCCTGCCATGCAGTGGCCAGCTGCCCCTCAGAAATGCCTGAGAGGAGCCCAGCTGGCGGGGCCCAGCCCCTGCTTTGTTCCAGGTCCTTGCAAGCATGTCAGCTATTCTTCTCTCACTGCATGGGAGCCGGGCACTAGGGATGACAGCTTCGCACAGCTTGACCATCATACACGGGCCAGGGGCCACAGCAGAGCCCATCCGCCAGCCAGTATTCCCTGCCACACCAGCCCCTGTCAGCCCCAACCCCAGCAGGGTGGCCATGAGGTTTAAAAGTGTCGTGTGTGTGTGTGTGTGTGTGTGTGTGTCCCCTCCGCCAGACATCACAGCCTTCACACACAGGGATGTACCACAGAAAATGGCTTTAGCCAGGGTCTCGAGAAACTACAGAGCCCCACCGTGGGGACGTGGGCAAATCCGTCCTCACTGCCGGGTCCTGTTCTCTCCTGGGCTTCAAGCTCTCCAGTGATGGAGATGCCACAGTTACACTCAGTTTTACTATTCTTGCAGGGAGAAATATTTTTGTAGCGGCCAATCTAATCCTTACTACTTTATTTTAAGCCCACTGCATCTTATCTGCAGGGGTCATAAAGAGCATATTATTGCATTATTTGCTTCTACCTCTCATGTATTTTAGAATTTTATCATTGTGCTCCGTATTTCCCTCTTTCTCTGCCATCTTTGCTTCTCTAGACTAAAGGAATGCAGTTCTTTCAGGCTTTCCTTAGAAGATGTACTTGTAGCCCTGCAGTTGGTCTCATTGCCCACCACGGGGCTTGCTCCAAGTAATTCACATCTTTCTTGAAGCATGGAGCCCAAAACTGAACCCACAGGGTCTTATCTGGGGCTTTCTTAACACTATACAGAAAGACTCCTTTACAAGACCTATAAACTCCAGCCTGCCCAGGCAGGTTTTTTTCTTTTCCATGATGATTTAAATTTATGTTCATTTGAAAATTCACCATAACGTGCCCAGCTTAAACGTCTTTTACAGATGTGCTGCCAAGCCTGCTGCTGCCCCTCTAGTACATGTTAGTGGTGGTTTCTGCCTCAGTGTAAAACTCTGCAATTCAGTGAGGTCAAATATACTGGTTTTGCCTCCTGAATCACTCTTCCACTTGGTCAAGACCATTTTCAATCCTAAACTTGCCTTCTAAGGGTTTTACAGCACTGGTGGTGATGTAAATTGTTTTGGCCTTTGAAGTTATCAATTATACCATCTTCTATACTGAAACATACTGGATTCATTACATCGCTATTAAGGCCTTCTCTTATTTACTAATAAAATTATCATATAAGCCTTGTCTAAAGTCTTAATAAAGCCCAGATATTCTGCCAAAGAAAGTCATTAGGTTGACTCGGTATGAGTTATGCTTGATGTAGCTGTGATGTAGGTGTGCTGGTCAGTACTTTTTACCCAATTAGCTGGGTATTTACAGGTTACTGACTGCATTTTTCAGTATTTTTTCATTAACTGATGTTACAGACTGATCTAATTCCCTCGGTCCTCACCTCTCTCCTTTCCTCCTTCCCTCTCTCCCTCTCCCCAGTCCCATTACTCATCAAATTCTGAAAGATTGCTCCATTTTCCCAAGCAAGTCTTCGAGGGTAAAAATGCATCAGGCCCTGGCATGCTGGAAACATCCAACACTCTCACTTTGGCTTTTTGAAAAAATATTTAAGTTCTTCCTGTTTTGCCATTGAAGTAGGGTTGAGATGATGTTTCAAAGCAGTTTTAATAGACTAGGGGCTTTCAATCTCTTTGATTCGTGGCCTGATTTTCCCATAGAAGTTTCACATACATTTTGATCATTTCACAAATGATCAAAACACAGGAGAAAGGGTCAAGTGCATCATAACATAGGTCCACCTAAACCAACATCCAGTCTGACAGCAGTCAACAGCAGGTGACTAGGAAGGGAGAGTAAAGAGAAGGACAAGCACACGTCGCTGTTTCCCTGAAGTATTTCCCTTGTTGCCAGTGGCTGGTGGCCAAGAGGCTTCTTAAGCCAGATGTGATGGGCGTTCTGATTAATAGCCTTTCGTTGGTTTATTCTTCCATGAATTTTTCCACTCTTGTTCTGACTCCATGTAAATTTTTAGTGGTACCATATCACCAGCTGCAAGAAATTCCAGAATTCACTAAATGTGTTGAAAGACCCCTTTGGTTGGAACTCCATATTATGTTGTTTGATGGTTGCTCCTTACTCATCTTCTCCATGTGCCTTCTAAGTGCATAGCCAGTTAGCAGCCACCTCTGACCTCTCATTACCGTGAAAAATTCACTGTTTACTTCTGTCTCTGTTTTCTGCTCTTTTAGCCTTTCTTTTCTTTAATTCACAAGACTGTCCCTCTCATCCTGTGTCAGTTCAGGTTCTTGAAGAGCCTTTGGGCAGGAGTATACTGGACCTTGCTTTTCTTCCTCATCTTACATAGCCTTCCCTCCCGCAAATAGCTGAAAGATTGCAAACTGGGTCTGGGTCTCCTAGCACTTCCAAGTAAAGCAAAGGTCTGGGGTCTCTTATTAGCATCTGTGTAGCTTCTGTGTAGCTGCATCAGATGTCAGCTGTAGCTGAAGGAGTGGGTCTCTTTCTTAGCAAAGAGACGCTCTTAGCAGGCGGATGTAGCACAGGGACTTTCACTAGCACGCAGTGACTTAAGGCTCAGATCACCTTCACCAGCTGTAAATGACTGAAGTGGTGTAAGGCACTACCACTGCTGTGCCCAGTTAGAGCTACCATATCCTGACACGCTCTGTGCCTCAGGCTAAGCACTAGCTCACAGCCTGCCCTTTTAGCACAAGCTTTCCTTTACCAGTGGGTTAGTTCAATAGATTCAGTTGTGAACAGCAGCCAAGGCATGGCTGTATGGCTACACAGCCTGTTCTGCAGCTGTGGGGATAGCAATTGCCATCCCAAGGGGCAGGGAGCCAGCTCAGGCAGCACTAGCGCAACTCAAGGGCAATCAGTTTTGCTGGAAGAAGAGCCCTCGAATGGCCTCCGAGCAAAGCCCAGAGGCCACAAGCCCCATGAATGTGGGCCGCTGGCTGAGGCCAAAGCGTGTCCCATTAGAGTAGCAGCAGGATGCCTGAAGGAAACTCTGTTTGTGATGAAAGGAAGGCAATTAAAATTCCACTTCAGCTGCCTTCCTGTCCCACTTCCTAACCTTCCAGCGGCAGGTGATTAGCGGGGCCTGCCTTCTGCTGCCCTCGCTCAGCTGTGCCAGCGGAGCCCCGCTGCAGGCCAGCACTGCTGCCGTGGCACGGACGGCTGCCGGCATGGCTGCCGAAGCTCAGCGAGGACATTGTGATTCAGCTGTTGAGTTTGTCTCAAGTTAACTTAGAATGAGCTCATTTTTTCAGTTTTCAAATCATTTTGCTCTTCTCTTACCAAAGCTCTTGCCCTAGCTGTGAACACATTGCTAGCCCTGCTGTTTAAAGTTTCCCATGTTTCTGTCCAGGATTTCCCAACTGGAAAACCAAACATGCATGCTGCACAGTGACATCAGTGTGCTACCATCACGTTGCACTCCTGCAGCCTACCAGACACATACAGTAGTTCATGTGTGCATAGGGATCCTGGCAAAATACCTGCAGCCCTTTTCCCAGCCAGATGGTGCTTTAAGGAAGACAACCCTGCAGGACATAGGGAAGTCCTACCATATCTACAGGTGCCCTGTTTTCATACAACTTCCTTTGCAGTCACAGGTCAGCACAGGGGTAAGTACACAATATAGAATTTAGTTTCATACTGCACTCTTGATGTCTTACACACTTTACCATGAATAATCACTTTGGAATAGTGAGTGGAAAAGGTTAGAAATGCTCTCCATAGTTTACAAGGTGACTCAAACAATTACATTTGGGTTTTTTAAACAGGTACTAAAGTTTTTTTCCCCCGTCTCCTCTACTGAAGGGGATGGCAAAACATGCCATTCAGATTAAAAAAACAAACAAACAAACAAACACACACTAATTCTCACCCAGTAACATTACTTACTTCTAGGTTACTAGAGGTGCTCTGCAGAAAACCAAGGATGCAAGAGAAGCTCATGCCTCAAAGGGAAAACCGAGTGCTTCAGTTACCCTTGAGGCTAAGCAGATTGACACTTCTGACCAGACTTAGATTTCCCCCCATCCTATAGTTTAAACTTTAATCCTAAAGTTTATTGCTTTAGAAGACATCTCTGGGAACTAACTGTATTAGCAGGAGAGAACAAGTAAATGGTTTTCCCTTCCTCACCAGTCAAAGCAACGGCTGAAGTGGGGTCACCCAAGAGTACTGCACCTTGTTTATTTTACAGGAATAAATCCCACTCCTATTGAGATTCTACAGTTTGCTTTGGCCTGAAGCTCTTCAAGGTAGATGACCCTGGGCCCCACAACCTACTGGAACTGTTTTGTAGTGCAAGTTTCCCTAGCAGCAGTTTGCCAATTGTCTTGGACACCAGGTGACTAAATAATCAGCATTCCTGTAGAGCAGGCTAGTACAAGTGTAAGAAAGGATTGTATTGAAGAAGAGCACGTGCAAAGGAGGAGAGGAATAGCTTGAACAGGATCTTAGATCCCTTCGGAATTAGGAAGGGTTTGAAACACTTACTAGCGGCAGATCAAAAGCGGAGAGAAAATGGGCAGCTGCTCAAACTAAAAACTGCTTCAAGCTTATGCCCTCTACTCCCCCAGAAGTGAGGAGTAAATCACATTGGGATCAGCACTCCTTACTAATCGGTGTTTTTCCAGACAGATCCCTCCCTCAGCCTATCAACCGACGCTTTGAACTCAAGCCAATCTGAGGACACAAGTTCCACAGTGTTTTTTTTAAGTTAGGTTTATTTAGCAATAGAAGTATGTACATGTAAGAGAATCCCCTGCAGCACAAGACATGCACAAAGCAGTGAGGGACTGAAAGTGGTGCTGCTCAATAGCCTTCCTCATCACCTGTCATCCCACTTTACCCAGCAGCAGGGCCAAGATTAGAAAGGGACAGGTGAGAAATTTATCAGTCCATGTGGCAGAGTCTTCAGGCAGAGCCTTCCCAGCAACTGGTATTAAAACAAGCGGGCACCATAGCCAAATGTCTGTTTAATGCCCTCGAAGTAGTAGCGCTGCCAGCCTTGCTTTGTTCTTTCCTCCTCACTGGCAGGAAAGCCCTTGCCTTCCAAGCACACCTCCGTCTCACCACCTTTGTCAGTGAAGTTCAAGGTAATTGTTGCAAAGTGGCCTAGAGGAACCAAAGCAAATCCGTCAGCAGTGTGTAGTATAGTATATGCTGCCCCAAGGAGCTGCTCTGCTCCTCCTCTCACACAGCACCGCTTAAAAGACTCCTCAGGATCCTTCCCAGAGGATCTATTTATGACAGCTGGAGGCCTCCCTCAGAAACAGAGGGATGAGAGGGCTCCCTCTTCATGGGGTTTGAAGCAGTTGCAGCATGGCTGATGAGTCTGATCATATCGTGTGGGATATGAAGCTGGGATAAGGCTGATGCAGCTCCCAGAACACCGTGCGTTCCCTGACCATGAGCCAGAGTGCAGTGTGGCAAGTGGGGCTGGAATTCTTCAAACACAGGCAAGGGCTGTAATACCATAGTCCACTCTTGGACTACTTACCAGCTGGCCAAGACTTAAATCTCCATTTCATAACAAGTTGCTTCTCAGGGACCTTGAGAAGAGAAAGAAAGACTTTTTTGCAAATCCTGCAGTCTAATACAAAATAACTAGAATTGTGTTGATCTGAAGCCTTAGAGACCCCTCGAGAAACCCACACACACACACACAGGGAAAGGATGTGTCCTTTTCTTTCCACTCCTCTTCTAGAAAGGTAGGCCATAGTACAGCCCCAAACACTGAGATAGTGTCCCTGTCCAGAAGGCTTTAGCGGCAGAAGGGCTAAAGAGGAAAAGGGTCAGTCACTATCTTTAACACCCCTCCAACCCTAATAAGTAAGTAGAATCACACAAAGACAGAGCAGATGCATGACTGGAAGCCAGATTTTCTCTCCAGATGGAAGTCCCATACATTAATCCATACTATAAGGAACGCCTCAACAGCCACAGCGATTATAGATAGCTAATTGTGGAGTTCTACCTGGTACCCAATAGCTAACTGAAGCATTGTTTCAGAATTGATACCTCAAAAATAAAAAGGTTTCCCCTGAGCAAGATACACCTGCACTAGTTAGTACTTACTAGGTCAACAAACTCTCCTGTGACACTTCCATCCAGCAACTGAAACTTGCCTCCTTTATCAGCCTCCAAGGTGGCTTGTGCATGGGTGAAAGCTTGGACCATCTGAAAAGAATTCAGGAGGAGACCTGTATTACTCGACATTATCTGCTTGCAAACTTATTGCCTAATGCCTCCCACCCAGCTACAACAGTCCTGGAAAAGGAGGTAAGTCCATAGTGTAAGGTCTTCATCAAGAAAAGACAAAAACCCTGCCCTGGCCAGGAAAGCAAGGTTATAGCCACTACAGCAGGGTTCTGCCTGTCAAGGGAAAAGAACCACTAGCTTTCACATTCTATGTAGTGTTCTGTAACCCACACTTTGATTTACTCCGTTGATTCCTTAATGAAACGTAGTTCTAAGAAAAGGTTACATTTTTTGCCCCCACCCCCTCTTTTTTTTTTTTTTTTAAGATGAACAAAAGACTAAGACCATGTTTAAATAGTGATATAATGCTGCTCTCTCTACTTAAACTATATAGCACTGTGCAGGAGAAGGGAAGCTATTCCCAAAGCATGCTTTGATACTACCTAACCTTAAAAGCAAAAAATCCAAACCAAGAAGCACACAATTGTAAATCCCAAGAGATCTGACCACATGCAGTACGGGATACACCTACAGATAGGTGTTGACAGCAGTCTGGAACTGGCTTCTGGCTGGCAGTAATCCTGTCTTGTCAATGGTTTGAAAAGATGCACAACACGAGCTTTAAGCAACTGTTCTGCAGACCAGCTTTCTTATTCCATTCTCATGGATTGAGAGTGTCCTACAGAATGCCTTAAAAAACTACTTAAGAACAACCTCCAATGCACAAAGAACAATTCTCAGAACCAGCCTGGCATTACCTCTTGAGTAACAAATACCCGGTAGAGCTCCTCAGGAGATGTTAAGAAGGTGTCCTTCAAGCTGATCTTACAGGTAGGGATCTTGACTCCTATGGATTTGGACTGCGATGGGGCAGTACTGCTGCTAGCTGCCATCTAACAAAACAAAAAAGCAAAACACACACATACTTTTTTCACAAAAAAATGAACAAATGGTTCACATATCCAAGAGAAAAAACAAAGGCCTTTGGTAAAGATGTAATTAGATACAACCATATTTGAGTGCACAATGCAGATTTATCACTCTGCTTGAATTAAGAAATATCATGTGCTGCAAATCGAAACAGTCAGGCCTACACCACAGATTGCCAATTCCTGAATATATATACTCTATGAACAGCACAGCTTGCTCCTGTACACCCCGGAATCTAATACTGTGTACCCTTCTTCACAGACCCAAAAGCATGTTTGCACAATTTTATTTACCTTGCGGTCTTCTGCTTTAGGAGTCACCTGAGGTGTTGTTTCCATATGTTCACCATTCACTGTGGGCAAAATCATGCCCTGGGTGAATTCTGGAAAGACAGGAATGCACCCATGAAACTAATAAAAGATCAAGTAAACCTTTCAACTGTTCTTTGAAATACACAATCAAAAAGGGCTTCCTGGTTTCTCCCCTGCTCTTGCTAGCACCCACGACTTGGAACAGTTTTTTAAAAAAAGTAAACAGACCTCTTTTTACAAGCAATTAATTCTTCTTGCCCTTACTACTCCCTTATCAGAACCTGCCTACACTAACAATTAGGAACTTACCTCCTCTTCTCAGCCAGACATGCCAATCACTATCTTCCACATGTTGCTCTCATATCAATGTTAGCCTTACACTTACACAGCTTTTTTTTCCCCTCTCGCTCTCCAATATAGATGGCAATCACATCCCAAATACTTTCATCTTGCTGGTCTAGACAAACCAAACCAAGCTTTTCCATTTCTTTTTAGACTCGCTCTCCATTTCTCATATCATTGTAGTACAGAATAAAGTTACTTCTAACTTCATCTTTGATTTATCTTTTTTGACACCAGATGCCAGGACTACACGTAGAAGCCCAGAGGAGGTCTCACCAGTGCCCTGTCCAGCTGCATAGCATTTTTGTAATTCCACCAGAAGCTTCAGCGTCTTTCAGTATCATGTTTGCTTTTTCTTCAGCTCTATCACTTCTGCCTTTACCAATTATAAAACAATTTGCTCTTTCTCGTCCTCTTCATCTGTTCAAACTGGCAAAATTCCATTATATAGCAGAATTTTATTATATGCATATAATCTTGTATCCTGCAGTACTTAGTTCCTACCTATTCTTAATTATTCCTGCCCACAAGATCATAGAGTTATTCCTGACTAACATTCTCATCTTCCGCTGGGCGATTGCATCTCTCAACCTGAACACTAAAACACCTGAAAAAACCCAAGGGTACAGAAATTTGATTTTGGAAAACCAGCAACTAGTGGTGGTTTGTACTCAGCAAAACCCAAATATCTAGCACATGTTGTATAATATAGGTAAATGGATACAAAAAGCAACTGTAGCATTCCCAGCCTGTACTAGAGAGCAAAGCCAAACTCAACCAAAGCACACTGATTTAAGTCCAACTGCTGGAATCAAATTTATCTTCTAAAAAAAAAAACTCGATTCAAATGCTGAGACAACTCATTCAATGACACCAACAAATCCTGCAGAGTAATTTCCAGTTGTCATTTATTCTCAAATCCAAATAACACTACATGCCTTTACTAGTGTGAGAAAAGAGAAAAAAACAACAAACTAGAGAGAATATACCACCTTCCAAGGCAGTAAGCAAACTAAAGGCTAGATTGTGCCACATGGAGCGACTGATACCTTATGTCACAGGGGTTGCATTTTACTGGCTTTATTTTCTCTACAGCTGAAGTTCAGCGTGTGAAGGACATTCTCATTTTTAAAACATAAATCCAAAAATGCTGTTTGTTATTGGGTTATCACCAAAACCAATCTTTCTGGGCTGTGCTACAGTGTCTAGAGACAGAAGTGCTTCTTGGCAAATGCTAACCATTTTCAAGAGAGACAGAAAAGTTACTGTTGTTGCTCTGACATCTTCCTGTTGAGATGGGGCGAGGAACTAATATTCATTCCTCTCATTACCCCCATCCTTTCTTTAGCATTAGCCCATATGGGTTCCTATAATGCTTCTCCCTCTCAGTTACATACCTGTTTTGAGAGTGCTGATGTAAGTTTTCATTGCGTCTCTGATTTTTTTTGCACCCTCTTGCTTCATCAGAGTCTTCAAGTTAGTGTCAGGTTCATCTTTAGCAAGGCTGACATGGATCTAAACAAGAAGGACAAGTGCTGTTTAACAAAGCCATACTTGCGGAGTCCTTTTATTACTCAATTCAACATCACAGTTAGACTTCGGCTAAACTTCACAAGCAGTACTGCAGTTTTATTGATCTTTCACTTTCCCTTTCTCAGCCTACAGTAATGTACACATGTACCTAAATACCTTTATGTGCTATAGAGCCCTTATATCTCAAAGGCAGGAATTAATTTGGTAAAGATACAACACGATGGGGAGGGACTCTTTGTCAGGGAGTGTAGCGACAGGACAAAGGTTAACAGTTTTAAACTGGAAGAGGGAAGATTTAGATTAGCTATTAGGAAGAAATTCTTCATGGTGAGGGTGGTGAGGCCCTGGAACAGGTTGCCCAGAGAAGCTGTGGATGTCCCATCCCTGGAAGTGTTCAAGGCCAGGTTGGATGGGGCTTTAAGCAACCTCGTCTAGTGGAAGGTGTCCCTGCCCATGGCAGGGCAGTTGGAACGAGATGATCTTTAAGGTCCCTTCCAACGAAACCATCCTATGATTCTACTAACTTAAGCAGCCTCTAACACTAAAGAAGTTATATGCAAGTGTTCTAAAAAAGGTAACATGGAAGGAAATATTAATGCTGTGAGGATTCCTGTTAGAACAGCCATACAGCCAGCAGCATTAGCCTTTAGCTGTGCTTACCTCAACTTCATCGATATCATTTTCATCTGAGAGATTAGGAATCTCCACATAACCTTTGTATTTCACTCCAGTCTTTGAGGTCCCTGCAATTACAATGATGTTATTCAGATGAACATTTTCTACTCCGGTTGTTGTAAAAGCAAACTTGTATTGTGTCACAATACAATACTTCCTTTTGTTATTATTTCCCAAATAAGTTAAGTATCCTTATCCTTAACCTTATAATTGAATCTGGGCTTGAAATAGGAGGGGAAACCATCACTCACCAGTCCATGCCAGCTTGATAGCCCACTCATAGAAGAAGATAAGTTTCCCCTTGCGGTTGTTAATGGAGGCCTCTCCATCCAGTTTGCTCACTTCTGTCACCTCACAAGCTCCTTCCTCACTCTCCACCCTTACAGGCAGAAGGAGAGTTTTCAGCCGCTCTGTGGACCAGTTGGAGGCATCCCGCTCTGTCCTGCGAGAAAACCGAGCAGCATGAGACTCTGGGGCAGGCCACGCCGCCAGCACACACTGGGACTACCTAGCCTTCCCCAGTCCTTCCCTTCCCGCCCCGCTCCAGCACACACACACAGCCCGTCCCCCGGGCACCCACCCAGGCATTCCCCGGGCACCGCGACATACGCACGGAGGCGGGGGTCTACCCACGGCATCAGCCCGGAC